AGTGGAATCTAAAAAATGCCAAGTAGTGTTGAATACCTGGCGACATTTTGACCCCATTCTCAACCCAAAAAGGAAATAAAAAAACTGGGAAATAGAGGGAAAGAGAAAGGAAATAATAAATTATGTCAGTGACGAACAAGGGCGAAGAGAAAGTGATGCAATGTGTGAAATTCGCAATGATACACTGTTTACCTCAACCAAATAACGTCATGGAATTAATCCAAATCAGTGAAAGCTATGTCCGATATCATGGTTTTTAATTTAAATAAGTGTTAAATTGGGATAAATAAGTGCAGTGTGAAATCAGTCATCAGACAGATTAACCTTCAATTACTGACCAAGTTAAGGTTTCTTATTGGTCCCCTGCATTACTTTACTATTTGTCTACTGTTCACATCAGTCATATTCACTTCAATTTATATGTGCAACTCATCATATTAGAGTAAACTACAACCGGTGTGCTCATGTTTATCAACCCAAACAATTTGTGATGCTTTATGATAAAGGACAAGAGAGAATAAAGTTCTAATGTTGGTAAATATACTATATGTTTAATTAGGACAGTTTTGTCTTGCTGGTTCCTGTGGGGGGTAAAAGTCTATAATGTACACTTGAATTGTATTTGTGTGGACAAAATCTCTAGTCTGTGGCTGGCTCCCTTTGTGATTTAGATTAATGAGACAGGTGTATTTTTCCAAACATTAATCATTTGTGGAGAACAAAAGAAGGACTGGAGCTCACTGATTAATTCACAGCCTTTATGTGTGCAAACCGACTATAATTTCGACTACTGTGTCTTCATCACAGTCGCTTAATGAATCTTCATTATCTAATAAAACCTGTTTTTCCAGTGACAATTGTACACCTGCTCTACGTTGTCTATGTTGTTTTCCTTCTTTGCTCATTTTGACTGATGAAGACACAGTAGAGTCAGAACATTAGTGTGTTTGCACAATTAAAGGCCCTGAATTAATCAGTGTGCTCCCCTTTTGTTCTCCTTGAACTGAGCACCTGATTTAGCTGTATTTTGCTGGAAGATATGAAGTCAACCCAGTTTCTAATAAATAATTTGTCCACTTTTGATCAAAAATGGGATTTAATCAACTTGTTTGCAGATGATGTACTGATATAACCTCTGATTGTGTTGAAATGTGATTCTTTTCTCTCTCTAGTGCCAGCTTGGCGTGCTGCCTCTCGGCACAGGGAACGACCTGGCTCGTGTTCTGGGCTGGGGTGGCCTCTGTGACGATGACGCTCAGCTGCTGCAGATCCTGGAGAAGCTGGAGAGAGCCACGACCAAAATGCTGGACCGGTAAGACCAAAGGGAGAGAGAGTGGAGGGTGGGAACAATGTGCTTAGCAGCAATGTCTTCTTAGCAAACTACAGTGATTAACAGTTAGTTAACATTAAGTTGTGAAATTAATGTTTTGAGGGCTTTAGTTTCCTGTCTTTTACCTGGCACTTGGTAAGTTCAGTTTAGGTGGACTGGGGTCTGATTTTGAGATGGATTGCTTTTAGTTACAGCATAAATGAAACTGTGGTTGTCTGTCTGTCCTGTGATGAGAGGAAAACTGTCCAGGATGATATAAGTTGGAGGAAATCCCAAATGAACAAATTAATGAATTCCATGTCTAAATCTGATCCTCCTTAGGGTTATATATTTCTCAAGGGCAGCAGACTGGAGCAAGCAATAAAGATAATTAGATAAAAAGCACTACAGGCTGTTTATTTCTATTTATACCACTGGGAGAGATTCATAAACAGCATTAGAAATAAGTTCTAATACCTCAGAGATGAACATGGAGTAGCATTAGTGCATAATTGGCTGCTGATGGTTGATGGTTTCCCAATTATCAGGATGAAAACAAGCCTATAAATCAACCAGTGACTTTTGGGTCTTGGGATTGCTAGGCTTCATGTTCACAGAGAAATACACGTGCCTACACAGATAGCATATATTCTGATCAACTTTTATAGGCACCAACCAAGTCCAAGTCCTTTAATAACCCTGTATCTTCTACTACCAAGTTTGACCTCGGTATCTAGCTGCAGACAAGATGGCGGACGTCAACTATGATGGTCATCCATATCCTACATCAACTGCAGACAGTTTTTTTTAATAAGTAACAACAACTGAACAACTTTTTTGCCTAAAAAAAGGCATCCAAACCATAGTAAAAAAAAAA